ATATAACAGAACCTAATGAACGATGGTAAGGTGTCATTTTGAAACTTGAAAGGTGGGAAAGTGTCATTTCGGCAAACCTTGAGTGGGAAAATGTTGTTCTCCCTTTTTTATTTTATTGTTTCCTAGTAGCTTTAATTGTTCATTAAAGAGCAAAACATTAATTTCATAAGTTCAATTGGATTTTACTGTTAATAAACAGTGATGAGGGGAGGTTTCTGCTTATTTTTTTATACATACGGGGTGTTGCCTTTTGCTTCTGAAACCTAAGGGGAGGTCTTAGATAATAGCACATCACAAAATAGTTTGGGGTCCTCTGTTTATCTAATTTTACCTGATCATCACTCCACTTTGCTTTGTCTTTCATGTATTTTTCTTTGCTAGAATGAGAATTAATTTATTTTATATCTCTTTCCTTTTTGTTTTGTTTATATGCTATAATATGATTTAAAATCATATTTTTATTTTATTTTCTAGTGTAGTTAAATTAGTTTAGAACAATTGAAAACTATTATTGGTGGCCATTTTGTATATCTGAAAAATTAATAAAAGATGATAAAATACACCGAAATATGGATTACAAATTGAGAAGGATTCACTATGGGCTTGGGCCTAATGGTGGACTGTTGCACCACTTTTCTTGGACCTTAACCACTCTTTCTGAGTAACGTTAAGCCAACCCACGACCTTCTGAGAAGAGCCTCAGCCCATTCTAAGGAGTGACCCATTTTAGTCATCACTAAAGTCAAAATAAAGAAGACTAAGGGCAAATTTTATGGAGAAAATGTGGAGGACCCAAACATCTAACTAGTTAGTGAAAGAAAGCATGTTTTAAAAATGTTTCAGGTGATTAGAATAATGAAATTCAAGGCAAAGAATTTAATAAAAAAATAGATTTAAAAAATGCAGAAAATTCAGGGAAAACACTGTTTTGGTCTGAAATGGATCGTGTCAGACAACTTATGGGAAATTTCCAAGGTTTGTAAGATTTTGTCTTTTGAATTCAATTTTATGTATAAAAAGATGTATTTTGACCTAGAAAAACTACCCAAAAGATTTATGAATGTAAAAATATTTAAATGGTCTCCCCACAAATATAGAAGGACAACAAAGTAAAACCCAGAGAGGTGATTGGATTCAGGTATTCACGGAAAAAACGATTTTGATTCATTAGAGTGATTTGTATGGTATTTAGGGACTGAATTCGTCGATGGATGTAGTGTTTTTGTTTGTAGATTGATGGAGGAAGGGTGAAAGTGAGTAGGGTTTTGAATCAAATCTCTCGGTTTCTCTTTTACTTTGGAACCGTAGCTATGAAATGATATTTGAATGCTAAGACTTCTTTGGAGATCAGTGAATAAAGGTTTTTTATCCTCCTGAACGAGAAAGTTCCAGCCTTTATATACAGGCTTGGAGATAAATGATAAATATTTGAGAAAGATTTATATAATAATAGATAATTAGTAATTTTGGGATGAATAGAATTTGAGATTTATACAAAGATATAAGTCCATTAAAAAATAATTATGGAAAATGATATAGACTCAAATCCAAGTACATTTAGGAAAAGTACTCATTTAAATAAAATACAATTATTGAATAAATATCTAGTAATTTTAATGAATAAAAAATATGGAATTAGTGAATTTATCTAGACATAAACATGTCTAGATTCATTGAATTTAAAATAAATAAATAGGACATAATAAAAATGATTTATATTAAGGATTTTAGGATGATAAATCTTGGAAAACAGTGTTATTATTAGATAAATAAATATAAAAGAGATAGATGCTTTAAAATAATATTTTGTGCAAGATAAATGTTAAAATAAAATTTATATGAAAAATATATTCGTGATTTATATAATTTAATTGATAAGATGAGAGATAAACCTAGAAATAATTTATCTCTTCATAAAATGAAAAAAAAAAACAATTATTAAAGCATGATAAAGGAAATGACCAAAATGCGCCTTACGTGGTTTTGTGCAAAATTGTGTGAATCAAAGTCTTTAAATGCAAGCAAAAACCTTTGCCAGAGTTTTTAGTAGTATTGAAGACTTTGGTCATGTTTAAGAAAATCTAAAATAAGAATTTTGAATAATGGAAAAATGCCGTAAAAGCTGGAATTTTGCAAAATTTGTAGAAAATAGAATACGTATGAAATTTGAACATGTGGCTATGCAAGTGTTTTACTATATGGGAAAAATAATAAACTTGGAAAAAGAAAAAGAAAAAAGCTCTAGGAGGTTGGAACGTGCACAAGAGTATTTTGATAACTTTGGGACTTTTGGGTCTCTGAAGGGTAAAATCGTCATTTGGCTGCCCAAATCAATAAATATTAATGATTTTTTTTTAGATTCTTGGAGTTTAAATAATGAGTAACACTACAATCACTAACACTTCTTACTAACTTTCTCTTACTAATGTCACGTGACAACTCACAATTCATCAGTTCACATGGGTTCCGTCTGTCCAATAATGGATCCTGCCTGACTAAGCTAATCACAAACTTTCATATGGGGTTAGTGAGAGAGGTTAGTAAGAGGGGTTAGTGAGGTTAGTATTATTGTTAAAAAAGTATTTTTCCTTTGGGTTTTCCAGAAATAGGCGTTCACACTAATTGATCCAATATGTCCAATTAGGAATCCTCCAAGTGGCCCAAACTCAAAGAAACATCTTCGCCAAATAAGCCTCTTTAGATACTCTAATACCACCACACCGTAGCCAACAAAAATTGGCCCATTGAAGTTACTTGGGTCCACCAGTCTTAGAAAGGGAAAAGAACACTTACTCTTTGTTTACTTTGTTGTTCGATTGTAAGTCATTGAGGTGTGGAGTGTGCCAGATTTTGTCTTGAGGTAGACTTGAGTCTTGCGTTACAGAAAGTCCTGTGAAAGGATGTTGGTTGGCTCTTTGGATCAAAATGAACCGAAAATAAGAAATTGGCATGTCTTGATGGGTTTTAGCAACAGTGCCCTCGTGTGATGGCTTTTTATGAGACAATCAGTGTCATCCCTTTATGCGACTTTGACAATAATGTCATCGTGTGAAAGGCTTTTATACGACAATCTATGTCATCTCTTGATATAGGCCTTTAGCAATAGTGTCATTGTATTGGGTTTATATATCAACGAAAATGATAAAACCATCGAAGGTTGCGCACCGAATCTGTGCACCGAATGACGTGACAAAATCTTGACCGTTGATTAATATTAACTGATAATGAATCAACGGTCAGAATTTTGTCATGTCATTCGGTGCATAGATTCGGTGCGCAAGCTCCGATGACTGTAACATTACTCATATATCAATGCCAAAGTGTCCTGAGCTTACATGTTAGCTAATGTCAAGAGCTTTTAGAATTGTATTGGGCTTACATGCTAGGGAATGTCAAAGTGCCTTGGGCTTACATGTTAGTGTATCCAAGGACTTTTAAAATTGCGTTGGATTTATATATCAGAGAATGTCAAAGTGTTTTAGGCTTACATGTTAGCTAAAGCCAGAGCTCTTAGAATTGTATTAGCCTTGAGCTTTACATGTCAGAAATGCCAAGGGCTTACTGTTTTAATGATGCCAATTTGGGATTAAAAAAAAAAATGGAGCGACTTCCCAATACATAATTTGCAAACTTAAGTTGTAGTTTGGTACCCTAAATAGAGCCTCAGTTGCGTAATTGGGCCTTGATTATGTGATTGGGTTTCCCCTAACAAAAATGGCTATCAACAACTATGTTAGAGGAAAAAGTACAAAGAACTATACTTGGAGAATTACGATTAAATCATCCACTTTCCTTTTATTATGATTATTTTTGTTAGATTAACTAATCATTAATTGAGAAACAAAATACAAATGTAGTGTTTTAACAATTGTAATTGCGTGTGTTTGTTTTAGTTTTTTCAAGGCAACCATGCATTTTGGAGACAGATAAGTTCTAAGATTTATCATTAATTATTAAACTGTCTCTTTTGTCTTATCATTAAGTAAGAATATTAATGGTTATTTTACATTTTATTTACAATATAGTTTATATATATATCTTTGAGTTGTTATTCAATATAGTGAGAATATTAATGGTTATTTTTTTCTTTTTCTTTTTTTGTCTCGTTATTCAATTTGTAACAAGTTAATTATGTAAACTTAATTGTATACTTGGTGTTCTTGAAATTTGACAATGATTCAATTTTATGTCACTTACTCAAATTTATATGTTATTAAGAGGAAATAAAAGTTAGGTATATATTTCTTGGAATTATAAAATTCAAGAATTAATTAACGAGTATATGTTATTCTGTCAATTTCTTATTATTGAAGACCACTTCTAATCTACATTTAATTATGGAAATAATTGTGTTATTATTTTGCTAGAATAATGTCAAAAAAAAAATATTAATAATATATTAAACAAAAAGGTTCGTTTGTTTGATAAGTAATTATTTAAAAAAAGGTTCTGATAGCCACCCTTCTAAGTTTAAGCTAATAGCAAAACTTTAGGAGATATCAAAAATAACAAAAGATAATTATTTCTGGGTAACTGAGTGGTTCAATAAAGACTCTTAGATGTATTACTCAAGAGGTCTTGAGTTCAAATCCCTCATCAGTTGCTAATAGGGGTAGTCACTAAAACTTTTACTCAATCGGTAGTTTCAAAATCTCAAAAAATCAGTTAAAGTGCGCGTAAGTTAATCCAGACAATCCAGTCATTAAAAAAAAAACAAAATAACATAAGATACTTACGATATTAGTGAGATCTTATGACATTTAGGTAGACCTGACAAACGGGTGGGTACGGACCGGGTAACTATAGGTAATGGGTAAAACAGGTACAGGTCTACAGGTAAAAAATTTTCACTGGTCAAGAAATGCATGACCCGTACCCTCCCGTACGTGTACAGGTCGACCCGCGGGTCACCCGCATAAAATGGACTTTTCTACTTTTTTTTTTCCCTGTTTTTTATTATTTCCCATCGGAGACTAAGCTTAGCCCACCGTCTCTCTTCGTTAAAGCCTAGAAATTCTACCGCCTGCAAAAACAACTCACAAAAGTAAAACAATAAAGCTACGGACACCGGCATTTTTGCACCGAAAATGTGTACCAGCCTATGTGTCCCCTGACTCACATCAGTAATCCAGACACGTTATTAAATATTTTTTTAGTGAACGGTCGTCCATCAAATATGAACGACCGTTCACTTATATGGACTCTCGTTCATATTATATGGACAGGCGTCCATTTACTACGGACGGGCGTCCCGTCCATAAGTAAAATGGAATAAAATATTTTTATAAAAATTAGGGACGGTCGTTCATAGGTTATGGACGGCTGTCCCTAAATATTGGACGGGCGTTCATATTTTAATGGACGCCCATCCATTAACAATTTTTTTAAAAAAATTGAAAAACATTTAAGGGCAGCCGTTCATCATTTATGGACGACCGTCCATTAATTTTGGATGGGCGTCCGCAAATAAGGGACGCCCATCCATAACAAAAATATGAAAAAAAAAAAAAAAACTTTTGGGACGCTCGTCCACAAATTATGGACGGGCATCCCTTACGTTTGGATAGGCATCTGTAAGGAATGGATACCCGTCCATTATGTTTCGTTTTACATAACTGGTTGCTTCTCCAGCTCGTTTGATAATCCTCATGCATTGGCTTCATAATCTCCTCCGCTATCTCAAATGGAGAACAATGACAAGATTTCCCTAGATCATCAACAAATCCAAAATCCATCACTTCCGTATCAATCTCTTCTTCAACTACTTCTCCCTCTAATTTCTTCTCTTCCTCATGACTATTGTTGTTGCCATCAACGTTGCTCCAGTTATCTTCTGCACAAGTACTGAAACTTGTGTTAAAACAATCCATCATGCAATCACTAGTAATCGTCGTAGTACTAGTGGTAAATGTAGCACTATCACTATTTTCAGTATTAACGGTGCAATCTTCAGGCACGTTGAAGAAATCATCAAACTGGCTGTTACGAGTATGATCTTCTATAGCATTTGCAGTTTCTTGAACCTGCAGGCTAACAGGCGAAGTGGTAACCATTGAAGTAGTAGAAGCATTGACATTATTGTTCCTAGCTTTAAGCCGAAGCAAGAGAAGATTCGTGATCTTTGAAGGAAGAACTGATTTTGAAGATAGGGAACAAGGCCAGAAATTTGTTCGAGTATTGGCTCCACGGAGCAAGCAAGCGGCTTCATCATAAGCTCTTGCAGCTTCTTCAGCAGTATCATAAGTGCCCAACCACACTATAATCTTCTATATGGTGTCTTTAATCTCGGCCACCCATCACCCTAATGGTCGTTGTCTCACCCCAACGTAACGTTTTCTTCCTCGTCGAGCTCCACATAATGCTGCTGCTACCGTCGCCTCCTCCATCACTTGGCTCCACCCCATGTTTTCCTTCACTTCTTCATCACCTGCAATCATGTTTCTTTTATTCAACATATTCCCTTCTTTTATATATCTTTCTAATTCATACATATAAAATTTGTGTACATAACTGGTTGCTTCTCCAGCTCGTTTGGTACGTTTTATTGAAATGTACATAACTGGCTTAGTCCGTGGATCCTTGTCGTTGATCATGGCTGACGATGATGGTCTTCTTGCACTTGGGCAACAATAGTTTGAGCAAGCAAAACATTGCTGGTACCATGCAATTGGGAGCACGATTGATTTAGAGAGTGGGCCATCCCAGGAGGTCCTGGAGCTTTATAACAAGGTTGAGGACAACATGGAGAAGGGCATGCAGATATGGGAGGAGATGGAGGAACAACGTCTGAATGGTCTATCCAAATTTGACAAATACAAAGATCAGTTGCAGAAATTGGGTTTGGATGGATTGCTTAAAAATGCATCTCCAGAAGAAGCTACAGAGCTGGCTCATCAGTTAGGGATGCCTGTCCACAAGTTATGTACTGGCGTCCAAAGTTTTTTTAATTTTTATATTTATATTATGGGACGTCCATCCATCCATAAAGGATGAATTACCATCCCTAAATATTTTTTAATTTAAAAAAAAAAAATTGTTAATTGATGGGCGTCCATTAAAATATGAACGCCCGTCAATATTTAAGGACAGCCGTCCATAACCTATGAACGGATATCCTTAATTTTTATAAAAATATTTTATTCCATTTTACTTATGGACAGGAGTCCATGTAAGTGAGCAATCGTCCATTTCACTAGAAAAATATTTAATAACGTGTCTGGATTACTGGTGTGAGTTAGAGGACGCGTAGACCGGTATACATTTTTGGTGCAAAATGTCAATGTCCGTATCTTTATTGCGAAGCAAAAACTAGTAAGAGAAATAAAGCTCAACAATCCCAACAACTTTTCTCATCCTTAGCTCATAGTCACAGATCTTGTTTCTTTAGAATCCCAACAACCTTTCTCTTCCTTCTTCTTCATACAAACCCACCTTCTCTTTCTCTTTCGTCGCTAGCAGATCTTGTTTATTTAGAATCCCAAAAACCTTCCTCTTCCTTCTTCTTCATACAAACCTAATTTCTCTTCCTTCTTCTGTAGACAAATCCCTTCTTCTTTAGTTGAACAAAACACAAAGCAAATAAGTACCAGAGGGTGAGGCTGGGAAGGAGATGAAATCCGACTGTTATTAATAATTTGAATCTGACGAAACTTTACTGGGAACTGCAAAGAAGATAACGATGAGAGTTTGGAGAGGTTTCTAGAAGAAGCGTTAGTGCTCAATGAAGGAATTGTTGAAACCGAAATTGAAATCGTCATTCCAAACTTTGAATTGAATCTCGAGAAAAGAGAATAAAAATACTTGTTTCTTTGTTTGTTTGGTAGAGAGAGTGATGCAGAGTTGAAAGGAGAGAGGAGGCCTGTTGTTCTAATTTTTTTTTTTTTTTTTTGTACGGGTACCCGTGGGCATCATCCAGTCCACCTGTAATTTTTACAGGTGGGTCGGGTATGGGTAATTTTGGAACGGACAAATTTATCAATATTTTGAGTCTGATTTTGGGAAAAGTGTTTGTTTTATTATCTATATAATAGAATCCTGAAAACTCTTTTCCGACATTTTGCTGACAGCTTTTTGACCTTTTTGAATTTTTTCTACAGACGCGTTCTCTTTTCTTCTTTCACGCCTTCACCTGTTTTTTTTTTCAGTCCTTTTTCACGGTTCGTCATTTCTTCTTTCACGCTTCATTTCTTCTTAGTACGGATAATGAACAAGTATATTATGATCGTTAAAACGGGATAGAATATGGGTAAAATGGAAAAAAAACCAAGTCAACCATAATAAGGTATTATAGACAACATGACGATTGTATGGGATAACATAACGAATGCATTGTGGGCAACACAGTAGACCATGTTGTAGTTGTTAATAGAGTATACGTGTAATAATGATTGTAAGGGTTGATAATTAATACTTTTGTCATGTATGTATTAATGTGATGTTTTTAAACAATTGGAATAGTACTTGAAATTAATATGGGTTTTTGTTTTTTAATATATACGGGTAACAAAATTACTAATAAAATATTTAGTATTATTAAAATGTAACTTGATAAGTTATATATATAATAATACATTATTTTAACAAAACACAATTACATATTATATTAATAAATCATTTATAAAAAAATATATTAATTAAATATTCAACACAAATATTAAGGTCAAAATACTCTATCAAACATATATTTTACAAATCATATTCTCGTAATCATAACCTTATCCAACGATCCAATACTATCCTCAAAATCCTATCCAAAATAATAAACCAAACACACACATAAACACTCGTACCCGTTTGTTTTATTCGGGTATCCGTAGACCCATGGGTACAGGGCAAAGATTGCCAAGTCTACACTTAGGACCTGACACTGACAGAGTGGTGAGATCCCAAATATACCATTGGAATGCAGTAAGAAATCCTTTCTTAATCACACATGCTTAATTAAGGGAGCAGACATAAATACCCTTTCTAGAACAATAAATAAAATAAAATAAAATTTTCCCTATACCTTCAAAGTTCAAACCATCCAAAAATACCTTATTCTACTCAGCAATTATTTTTAAAATATTTCCATTAACCTATTAAATATTTGGACTCTCTTTAATTGAAGAAAAAAAATCACAGAATTCAAAAAATCAACAAAAACAAAAAGCCAACTCCACCTTTCTGCCCTACCCAACAGCCTTGCTCTCTTCTTCCCTTGCCCAACAACAAACTACCATGCCCACAAATAAAAAATTACATCTATCAACACAAAATACCACCCATCAATACGAACACAAAGCCAGACAAAAAAATCTCCTGTTAGCAGACCTTTTTTCTTAAGTGAAAAAAAAAAAAAAAAAAACAGATGCCATAGGTGAAGACAAAAATCACCACCAAGTGATCACCAGCATGGCAGTATCGAATCCTCTTTCCAAGCAACGACACCAACAACAACGAATCCTACAACCCCCGGTGCTTCCCACCGCTTACCATCCTACAATTTCTATTTATATGATCTTCAAGGTTTTCTCTTGTTTATTAGTTGTGATACCCATTACCACCACCAATCTTACTCAATCTCTAAAACCCAGGGTTTTTATTACTCACCCCTCTAAGAGATGAAGAAGTATTAAACGCCTTTCATGTTTTCTAAAAACGTATATTTCCCTATGAGAGGGGATTTTGATACTTTACTAGGGTCATCTTGATGAAGGGGAAGACGAAGGGAAGGAAAAGTTGACTGGTCTGGGGTAGGCAACAATGGGAATAGAAGAGGAGAGGGTGATGAAAAGAGACGTAAGATTAAGTTTTTTTATTTATTATTATTTTAATTAATAAATTTGTTTAATTACTTTTATCTCCTTCAAACATTCAATTCAATAGAAATGCAATAGAATGCCGTAATGACAATCTAATACTCTAATGGCAGGGGAATAATTGTTAGCGTATGTAAAAAGTTGTAAGAATTTGCCAGAGAGAAGGAAGTTTTATATATTGGAGTCTTTAGTAAATTTTATAAAGATTTCTATATACTGAGATGATAAAAAATAAATAGAAGAGTAAAATAAAAAATTAAATTTATTATTTCTACTTTTCTATGCATTTTTTGTATATGTAAATTTTTATATGAGTTGTAAGAATTTGCCAGAGAAGAGGAAGTTCAGTAAATTTTATAAAAATTTCTATATACAGTGAGACGATAAAAAACAAATAGAAGAGTAAAATAAAAAATTAAATTTATTATTTCTACTTTTTTATGCTTTTTTTTGTATATATAAATTTTTATATGATTTCTTTGTAAATATAATATTACTTATTTATAGGTTTAGATGGAAATATCAAAGGGAGACGTAAATAATAATGCATCCAATGGGCTTTTCATAATAACAAATGCATTCCAAATTTTAACAAACATGACCTAAATCTAAAGACTAAGGTTAAATACTTTTTTTTTTTTATTAATTATAAATGATTAATCAAATATTTTTATTAATTATAAAATATTAATCATTTTTTTTATAATATAAAAATTATCAATCAACTAACTTTAGTTGTTATGAATTATAAATCATTATTAATTTACCTAGTTATCCTCCAACTTTTGAAACTAACCAAAGAGTGTTAATGGTTGACAAAGGGGTAAGGGTTCGAGAACTATTTTTTATTCGAAAGGGTGTTTAGTAGATATCGAAAACCTTAAGGGGTTTACAGTAATTTTTCCTCATAGTTTTAACATGATTAGATAACGAGAGTAAAGTTATTTGTACAAAATGTATAAAGAGGTTTTCAAACTGACGTGACACGTCACATGGCATACCACGTGACATTACGGGCCACGTAAATGGGGAAGGGTAAGTTAGTGTCGGCCAAGATGGAGGAAGGCAAGTGTTGCCTAGAGCATTAATTTCCTGTTGCACAGAGGCAGTTTTGTTTCTCAAACTGCATCAGGATATATTTGTTTGTGAACAGGAAATGAGAAGCTATCTTCTCCTTAAACTCCGAGTTATGGTTAGTAATCAAAGACGTGTTTATGTGTAGTTTGTGTACCGATCGGTATCAAAATACAGATGAGTGGCTCGCTCACCTCCTTTTCAAGCACATTCTTAGACAGTGATGATTGATGAAGGTTTAAATTGTTTTATGTTGTGATTTTATGCATATTGTTTATGTTTTTGGATAATATTATTACGAGGTAAGTGTAGTCTTTTTTTAAGAATCTTTCTTCTTCTCAGACTATCTCATCTCTTCCCCTCTTTATTGCTTAAGTATAGTGATTTGGCATAAAAATTGGACAGTAGTTGCAGTTTTGGTGGCGGCCAAGGTGGTAGAGGTTTTAGTGGTGGTCACTTGTGGTGGTAGACATGGTGTCAGGCGACATTGTGGTAGACGCGGTGGTGATGGTGGAGCAGAAGTTGTTGGTGAATTCGGTGGCGGTGAAAGCTTATGTTAGTGTTTTCTGGACACTATTATTGGTGATATTGGTGGTGGATCGATGTTGGTTGGTTGGTGCATATTCTTTATTTAGGAGGTTTTGTTGTTCTCTATGCAATACTTTATATTAAGAGGAAGGAGATATAAAATGACATCTCCGAATTATGCACATATTCAA